TGTTATCTTTCACGTCCACATTTGCACTTGTAACTTTCATTTACCTTGCATCTTTCGGAATTTGGCTAGTTGTTTTGTGCTTAGTATCGATTAGCTGTAGAACCGTAGCTCTCTTGGTCATGTGTGTTTTGATAATTTGTACACCATATAAGTACCAAGCTAATGAGTCAATGGTTTTTTTTTATTAGTTGTTATTGGCTTTGAACTAGCTGTCAGTAACTGCGAGTACTCTCAGATCTATATTTAGTGTCTTATTGATGTGGGGGTGTACAAGAACCCTGCCACGTCTACTCTGTGTTTTGTTAGATGTATTTCTTTGTATCTATCTGATGAGTTAAGCCCTTTTCAACTGATTTTTATAGTTTGTTCTTTTGTTGTACTGTTATATCACTGTCCCAGGTTAGGGGAGGGTTGGCGCCTTCAAACTAGTTTAACCCCGCCACATTCTGTACGTGTCTGTCCGCAGTCAGAAGCCTGTAATTCAATGGTTGTTTGTTGCTGTATATCATATTTGTTTCGTTCATTATTTTGTACATAAATCAGGCTGTTAGTTTTCCCGTTTGAATTGTTTTACATTTGTCATTTCGGGACCTTTTATAGCTGACTATTCGGTATGGGTTTTACTGATTGTTAAAGGCCTTACGGTGACCTATAATTGTTAATTTCTGTGTCGTTTTTGGTCTCTTTTGGAGGGTTGTCTCATAGGAAATCATACATCATCTTCTTATTTTTATAAACCCTTTCAGTTGTTTTTTTATATATGTCATCACTCAAGTTGTTAAGTAAAATGGTGCAGAATTCTAAATTGGAGACATAACATGAAACTAATGATGTGCCTTATGGCTTGCAGAATGTTTAAGCACAATTTCAATCATCTACATACAAATTTTGACATGACTTTAAATTAAAAAACGAGAAGTTGAACAGTTACTTAATTTTAAATATACACTTGCATATAGTCCTTTGTATTTCAAAATTTACAAATATTACATTTTATGAATTAATGTAAAAGGTAAGCTATCATATTTAGGCAATTGATAAGAATCATGAAAGTATTTTATCAGTTTCTTTTGCTTGAGTTTTGTACAAGCAGCTTCATGATATCGAGGCGATTCCCACACTTTTTTTTAAAATACTTCAGTTCCATTTCTTTCCTTTGCCCAGACAAACTGTTGCTAGACATATTTTCCTCCATTTTCAATTGATCCTTCTTAATATTACCATCTATTTTATCAGCAATCAAAGACGGGCTTCAAAGTTTCTATGAAACTATCTACTCTAGGGGCGCTTTGTATCAGATGTGGATACTAAAATAACCAAAGATTTGTTAGAATACATACAATCTCTTTCCTCTTGCAATAGTATTAAAACTTTTGACCTCTCTAACCTTTACACCAGTATTCCTCATTCTTAACATAAAGATAGATCGTTAGAATGAGTACAAATTTGTTTCATTAAAAAGAATGGCCAAAGTAGATGCAAATATCTTGTTTTAGAAAGAGATAAGTTATACACTTGATTTCAAAAAAAAATGTCTAAAACTGACATCATTTGTTACGTCAACGAATTTGTACTATATGAGCAACACGACGTGGACCCTTGGTAGCACTCCACAGTTAGAAAATAAAATTAAAATTGAACCATATAATGTTTAATCATCTTCTATTCCTGTCTTTCTAATACATTAAGCCAACTGTTTGTGTCATACATGTGCATATGTATGTAATCAGTACCTTCCATAGATTTGTTTTTCAAAAGTTAAAATTGTGATATATAATTCCTTTTTTGTGCATCCATGGCAACATTCTGCATTTATTTACCATAAAATATTGCAAAAAGGGGCATGGAAACGTCACATATTCCCCCAAAATTTGGTTCAAACTAGAATTTCAATCCATTTGAGTGATACCTTTTCTGAAACTATTGATATTATTCTACCAAATGATCAAATAAATATTGGATGTCTTTCGTCTAATTTTTTCGTGAAATTTAATCACAAAGTTCGTGCGACAAAAAGTAGGAAAAGAACATTACACTAATTTCCTGACCAATGTCTGGTATGGATATGAAAATACGGACTGTCATACAGATAACAGCCCATAATAATCACATTATACAATCTAGATGTTCCTATAAACCCTCTATGACGGCTATATTAATTTTCAGCCATCCAAAAACGAATTTTATTGCACACTAGCTTTCATATTTGAAAAATCCTCAGGGGCCAAAATGCGAAACTACACATCTAACTTGGAGTGCTACCCTATGTTACACAGGATCTGCTTACCATTCCGGAGCATCTGAGATCAACCTCAGTTTTGCCGGTCTCTTCGATATTTATGTATTGTTATACGCATGCGTTAACTTAATAAATATTGCCAGCGAATAATTAACACAAACTACAATTCCTATGTGAAAATCTTTTTGAGCGAGTGTTCAATGATATTTGGCGGTTTTACTGAATTTTCTGCTATTGCATGGCTGTATATTCCAGGGGAAGAAAACCATTTTAATCAAAAACAGAAAAATTGCATTAAATATCATAGGTGCAACATTAAGATCTGCAAAAAGCTATTTCATTATACGGCCATTTTGACCCCAAATGGTACCTCCATGCACTTTCGATTACCCGATATTTCACACATCATCTTTAGAACAATGCAAGCAGTCATTGGAATTCCGGCGAATTATGAAACCAAAAGATTATCTTGTATTACATGTACTGTGTATGTTTAATAGGACATGGTTGCTTATACAATTTTTAAAGATGTTCGGTAGTCGTGTCGGTCATCTGAATTTTCTTAATTTTGATTCTCTGGCTTTTTTTACTCCTGTAAACAAAGTTTGGGGGTATATAGGAATCACCATGTCCGTCTGTCTGTATGTCCATCTGTCTGTCCTTCCGTCCCGCTTCGTGTCCCATGCATACACTTTGTACAATGAAACTTAGGATAATCAAACTTGGCATGCAGTTGCATCATAGGCTGTAGTGTGTCATACACCAAAGTCAGGTCACTCTGACCTTTACTTTGACCTTTGACCACGATGACAGTAAAACCCTATTCAATTCGTGTCCGGCTTATGTATCTTGTCCTGTTAAACTTAGGTTAACCAAACTTGGTATGCAGTTGCATCATGGGTTTTATGTGTGTCATAAACTAAAGTCATATCACACTGAGCTTTGACCCCTATGTTGGTAAAACCTTATCTGATTTGTGTCCATCGCATAACTTTTGTAGCATAGAACTCATGTTGACCAAACTCGGTATGTTGATCCATCATGGATGGCAATGTGTCATATATCAAAGTCAGGTCACTCTGACTTTGAAATTGACCGTTGACCCCTATGATAGGAACGCATTGTCTGATTTGTGTTTGGTGTATAACTTTTGTACGGTAGCACTTAAATCGACAAAGCTTTGTAGCATCATACTGACCTTGACTTTGATCTTTATTTCTAAATTTAAAGTATAGAAACCTCAGACTTTGTTCCTGTGTCAGAATAATTCTTTCACAGTGATCTATCAGTAGCCACTTTCCAATCTAACACAGAGGCAATGATTGTAGAAAATCAATGGCTGATAATTATTAGTCTATGCGGACAGCTCTAGTTTTTATCTAAAACATTAGAAAAAATGTCCAGCTATCACCACCTTTTAATCTGCTTTAGTTCATTGTTAACTTATTCGTTAGTGAGGCATGTCGACTTTTGGGCCAATCAAATTTAACTTATATATAATTCTAGATTTGTGTTCCTGTTGACGTTTTTTTTTGTGAATTATGTTATGAAATGAACTTTTGGATATCAATAGGATGAAAGATATAAGGAAATAGTATACACGTATTTAATGGCTATGAAGACAATAGAAAATTTATTTTCCCCGAGATACCAACTATTTCCTGACACGAAGCGAAGGGTAATAGTTGCTGTCGAGGGGCACAATACACTTGCTATCGTGCGAATAGCCAGTAAATAAGTGTTTTAGTATACAGAAAAAAGGACAGGTATATATTTCGAGACAATGTATGGTATATCACTGTATACTGCAACTCTTACAACTGTTCCAAATGAGATATTCTGTGTAAACCATCAGTTTTTTTTTTATTTGAAGCGGGCGACGTAAAAATTCCGTGAAGCTATATAAGTGAAAATTTCAGAGATTGTTTTCCTCAGATGATAGACACGAAGGTTAGATAAGAGGCGTGAAAGGGAATGCGAAAGATTTATAACGGGGTCATTTCAGAGTTTGATAAACATTGTCGGAGTTCTTCGTCTAATTTTTTCTATTGATTTTTTTTTATTTTCTCATTGTTTTCATTGTTCTGTAGTTGTTGGTTTACAAACGATAACACATTTTGAAATGAACAATTTAAAAAGTATCTCTTTAAATGTTGTTAAGTACTGTCTTACAGGTCAAAGGCAAGGTTTTAAAAGCTTGAAATTTAGCTAAATTGTTCCTGTCTTATTGGATGAAATATCACCGTAACATTTCGGTTTCTTCTTTTTTAAAATCCAGAAAATAAGATGTTTGTTTAGTTCTAGGTTTGGTTCGTCTGCAGCATTTCGTTAAAGAGAGCAAAACATATTTCCATAATGTTTGCTACATTAAAAGTTTGGGATCATAAAAATTATATACGAATTATTTTAGCATTACTATCTATAGTAACAGCAGTTACAATGAAAGCCGTATGTTTTCGTGAATTTTTATTAGCCGTGAAGTCTTTTTTTTCATTTTCATATTTTTTTTATTTGTTGTTTTTAACTCATTCTGATAAATTATTTCCTTACTCATTGATGGCGATGATAAGTACAGTCATCATTTGTATTTTTAATGCAGATTCGTTTATGGTATTCAGATATGTTTGGTTGGATTTTAACGAATGAAAGATTGTATGGATTTTTTAACGACGTGCGACAATGTAAACAGGTGAAACCAGCTCTCTTCTCCAGATAAGCGAGACGCTAACCTTTACTGAACTATATTTGAAATTGATTTAAATACTCCAGTGTGTATAATCAGGAAGTAAATAAACATTTCAACGGGAAGAATTCATATCTATATAGATATTAAGGCAAGTGCCCAGTATTTATAAGATTAGCAGTATCTCATTTTAGGTAAGACAGAAAATATTTTACATCAAATCAAAGAATATAATCCATGAGACTGGCAACTCCATTTAATAGCCATATAATAATGTATTAAAATATCATTTGACTCTCTCATTAGTTTTCAAACTAATTTTTCATGTACAGACTTATTCCTACTCTTTTTTTTCTCGTTATAGATTTTTTTCGGATATGGTTTAAAATATTTGAAAAAAATATTTTTTAAAGTAAAGATTTTATGAACAAGGAAGGTAAAAAATTGACATCAAGATATTGAAAATTAAATGAAAAGGGGGACCGGTGTTGTTATGGCTTATACTTCATTTGATTGTTTTTGATAGTATAAATGTGATGTTATAAGATATGGGAAAGAAAATTAAGTCTTGATAGGGTATTATTTTAATATTTTTTATGTGATTTTGAGGAAAATAGGAATTTTGCTATTATGAAAGCAATCACAAGAACCGCGTGAAATCACGAGGTTTTGCATTATTGCCAATCTCTTGTAGTATATGGCTCTGATCTAAGTGATTAAAACGTATTGAACAACTTTATAGAACATTTAAGCATAGGTTGACCGTTCAAGTTATTGACACCAGTATAAAAAGAGTCGAGTATTTTGTCTGTAAATCACTGAAGCCTTTAACAGAATTTTAGATTGTTTTGTTAAACAATATATATTAAGGTATAATTATATCGGTAAATTTCGAGAAAGGAATAACACACTTAACCTAACCTCGATAATATAAACTGAAGATACGAATTTACATGTGTGAAAATACCCAGCCTATATAAACTGAACACAAAGAATTATCTTCTTCAATGACGAAGGAAAATTCCTAGCATATGAAAAACAGGCACTATAAATACTATGGGGTTGAGTAAGTACAGTGAGTCGATACTCTATTTAATAGCAGAAGTCCACTACTCGGGTCCTAGTAATGACTTCTGTTAAAAGTACAATTACAAAATAATTGCAATGAAAATACAATTAAAAAAGGAAAACATAACCACTGCATATCAAATACTTGGTTATTATTCAATGTGTTTCAGATATGCAAAGCAGGTTGTCATAAATATTTTTTCCTTCTCGTTTTCAGATTGAACCAGACATCGACTGAATGTAAAAATGATCATATTTTGGTGTTGTTCGATTCTTTTGCTATCCGATGTGATCGCTGCTGATTTAAGTACTTGTTATTCTGAATATTCTAAAATAATATGCTCATGCGACCATCATCAAATGATTTGTTCGAATCATGGTGACAAACTTGAATTTATTCCGATGGTTCCGAATAATATCAAAATGCTTACATTTACAAACAATACCCTGAATCACGTGACTGAAATGACTTTTCTTAATATGACAAAAAGTAAGATAACACATCTTATTCTTGCTGGGAATAAAGTACGGTATATCTCGAGGAACTCTTTCAGAGAATTTACCTCTCTCGCCTTTCTGGATCTAAGTTATAATGTTATTCCAGAATATGTACAAATTTCTCTCAGTAATTTGCGTTTTGGAGAGAATGGTTCATTGATACTAAATCACATGAACATTACAGAAACCAAAATGGATGAACTGTTTCGTTATCTGGATAAAAAACGAATACAAACACTGTCTTTGGCCTACAATAATTTAATGTACATCGATAGTTGCGATTGGGTGAATTTTCCGACTTTGACAACTCTAAATATAACCGGGAATAAATTAAGGAATATTACATTCAAATGCCAAACGAAAGTCGAAATCATACACGCAGACTTCAACAACTTAGTGACTTTTCCAAATTTTTGTCTTGATGGCGATAACTCCACTGATTTTAATCATACATCTGTTCCCAATTTAATACATTTTTCTGCTTCCAATAACATAATAGAAGAGATGCCTCCAAATGTATTGATTTGTACGGACGACTTACGTGAATTATTTATTACAAAAAATTCATTTCATGAGATTGAACTCCAAAGTTTCTATCAGTTACATACTCTAGAGATATCTAGTATTTTCAGATATTACCAAATTAATAAACCTCGTTCACAGTCACAATTTTTAACGGCATCCATCGAGCATCTGATGATACATAATCTATCGTTTAGAGTAGTTCCCACAGATTTAGAAATCTTTAAAGGACTTCAACATCTAAAGAGTCTTGACCTGTCATATTCCGATCTGCCGTTTAGCCCTATGGCATCTAAAATACTCTTCAAATCGTTGTCAAATTTAACAAAGTTGACATTACAGAATGTAGGATGGAAAAATATGCCTTATAATATTTTTCACATGCTTCCGTACTTAGAAACTCTAGATCTAAGCAATAACGAAATAAACTATTTAAACTGGAGTCACTTTAAATATCCTAAATATCTCATAGAAATCAACTTAAGCAACAACAGAATTTTTCTAAATGGTAAAATAACAATTCCGTCTTCGGTTTTATCTTTGAAATCTTTAGATATTTCAAACAATAGCATATACTGTACTTGTGATAGTCTTTCATTTTTCGAAGAACTAGCATTACATAATGTGACGATCAAACATTACCCTGAAGCATATATCTGTACAAGTCCGATAAACATGGCTGGCAAATCGATCGCCGATGTTCAATGCAAACAACAATTGGAAATTATAGTCTATACAATTATAATGACTGTTCTATTCGTAAGTGCTTTTGTCATCATTGCATATAAGTACAGATATCGCATTCGATATTTGATTCATATCTCGAGATCAAGACGTTCTTGGAAAATTCGAAAACAGACAGCACAACCACTTGTATTTGATGGTTTTGTTATTTATAGCGAACCAGATAAGAACTGGTTGTATAATAATCTTTTACCATTTCTTGAAAAACAGCATGGATATAAATTATGCATTCATGATAGAGACTTTCAGTATGGAAGACTTATTGTAGACAATATTGTAGAAAATATGAAGAACAGTAGAAAAATAGTACTTATCCTTTCAGAGAGTTTTGCAGAGAGTAAATGGTGCCAATTTGAAGTTCTTTTGGCTCATGAAAGATTTTTGGAACAAGGTCCTGATTCTTTGATCAGTATTAAACTAGAAGAAATTACTACATTTCTAATGACAAACACATTAGAAACGCTGATCAAATTTGCCACACATGCAGTTTGGTCAGATCACAACAAGGAGGAATTTTATGTACGAATACTCGATTGCTTTCAAGAAAAAAAAGATTTTTTTGATAGAAACAATAGCAGTAGGAGCCAGCTTCAAAACTTACCGAGTCATGCAAAGAAAACTAAAGAGGAAGAGAAAAGTAATATGAATGTATCTGAAAAATTTGAACAAAATGAAATTCGATGTATGTTATTTAAAATTTGTAGTAATGTTAATCATATGAGCGAAACACTTTATAACCGTATGGACGCCCTCGAAGAGTCAGTAAAAAGTGATATTACCTTTCTGAAAAACAAAGTACACAAATTAGAAACGAGTATTGCGTCACTGCAAGGTAATATTTCAGACTCATAAAGTACTTTCATATAATGTTAATTTTTACTTTTGTTTACATCAGAACAAACCTAACGTTTTCATCCATCAAGTGGCCAGTGTTATACCTCTTCTTGACACATTTAGTTATGACGATTAAGGTTATATATAATGTTGGTTTTTTTTTAAATTAGGATTCATTATTATTATATTTTCATAATTTAGAATTGGACAATGATTTTTATTATAGTTTATATTAACAAAGGTGTTCTTCTTTTACCTGACCTACAGTCGTATCTTTTTCCAGAGCTTTTTGGTGGTCGTTCTTGTCATAGAGTGTTATCTTACAGGTTCACATTCGCACTTTATGATATGTGTTGTTCTTTCTATAATGGGTTTATGTTTAAGGTCTCAAAGTTCAATATACGAAATATGTTGTTTTTTGTAAGGTGGGTATTTGTTCTTTGCCCTTATCTTGAAACGTTGTTTTCCTGAGACTTATTTTTCCGAAACCATGTGATATGAACGCATTTATTAAGAATGATCCCTGTTTTATGGTGATACTCTTCGTGTCTGTTTTAGGAGTCGGAGGCAAATCAAGGTGTTTTGAGAGAAGGAGAAAAAGACCAGATGGTCCGTGTAAACTTATTAGTCCTTTGAATAAACAGTTTTAAAGGTTATCAATATAGCATGGTAGGTAGATCTTTGAATATTGTTTTTATAGGTGCTTACATCGATTTTATTTTAACAGTCCAATGTGTAACGTTAGCCGTCCTGTTATTTGCACGTGTGGTCCTACATCCTTTCGATACTCAAGACAAAATGTTTAGAGGGAAGCTAATTGATATATTAGTCTTTTAAAAACATTGTCTATTAATTACTTGAAATAAGTTATGGTAACTGCGAGTACTCTAAGATCAGTACCGTTTTTTGTCATTGTGCTTGTTTTTTTTTTGTTTTTTTTTTTTTGCTTTGTACCATTAGCTGCGGAACCGTAGCTCTTATGGTCCTTGTGGATATTTTTGGACACTTTGCGGACCAAATATATAAGTATCGATTCAACAAGTCAAGTCCTTTTCAATTGTTTTTTTTTCTTATTTGTTCTGATGTTGTGTTGTTGCACTGTTGTTCGTGGTTAGGGGAAGGGTTGAACGCTGACAAATATGTTTAACACCACCACATTCTTTATTGCGACTGTTCCAAGCCAGTTAACCTGAAGTCGAGTGGCTGATGATAGTTTCCATCTTTAAATATTGTTTTTTGTATAATTTCACGCTCATGGAACTTTTGCAAAACTCTTTAAAAGAGAGGTGAAAGATACCAAAAGGACATTCAAACTCATAAGTCGAAAATAAACTGACAACGTCATGGCAAAAAATAAAAAGGACCAAACGACAAACAACAGCATACAAAACACAACAAATTTCTGCCCTTACATATCCACCATATCTTTTCCAATGGTAGTCAAAATGTCCCGACCTTCATCCTTGTCGATCGACTTGGTAGATCCTAACTATTGGATTTATTGTTAACTTGTTCTCTTCCTGGTTATGCATGAAATATTTCCCACAAGGCGGTAGTTAAACAACAATCAATCAATCAATCAATCAAATTGTACTCTCATAGCGGCCAAGGCATTTATAAATATATTTCATATCGTAACGTCTTAGCCTGTGTCGCTCACCTTGGTCTATGTGCAAATTCAACAAAGGACACTCTCCAACATTGTAGGCGAGAATAGAATTCATGACAAAAATCTCTGTTTTGTTGATCTTGTATAGCTGATCATTTAGTCTGTTTAGTTTCTCTCTATCTTCTTTAGTTTTTGCTCAAAACACATAAGAGGGTAAAAAAAATCCTCATTTAAGGGCAATCACTCCAATAAAGAGTGACAGTTTACTAACTTTATCTAGATCTTGCCTTGCTGATAATTTTTGTTATTTAAAGTGTCTATTTATCTATTATAATTTTTATCATATAGGGCAAAACGCAAATAAATGGTAAAAATCGTCATTAAAGGGCAATAACTCCAATGAGGAGTCGTCGAACGATTTCTTCCATATTCTCTCAAATGTAGACCTTGTCTTGCTGATCATTTTTGCTTATTTAAGTTTCTATCTATCTATTATCATTTTTAAGATATAAGACAAAAACGCAAAAAAATGGTATAATCGTCATCAAAGGGCAATAACTCTAATAAGGAGTTGACTGACGATTTCCACCATTCAACTTATTTGTAGAACTTGTCTTGCTAATCATTTTTGCAATTTAAAGTTTCTCTCTTTCTATTATAGTTTTCAAGATAATAGGCAAACATGAAACAAAATGGTAAAATTTGTCATTTAAGGGCAATAACTCCTATAAGAAGTCATCTGACAGTTTTGACGTATATAGTCAATTGGTAAAGCTCAACATTCTGATGATTTCTGCTCTGTCAGATTTTCTCTATTTATAACGGTTTTCAAAATAATAGACAAAACTTGCATTTTATCCCTATGTTCTATTTTAGCCATGTCGGCCATCTTGGTTGGTAAGCGGGGTCTTCGGACACATTTTTTAAACAAGATACCCCATTGATGATTGTGGCCAAGTTTGGTTAAATTTGGTCCAGTAGTTTCAGAGGGGAAGATTTTTGTAAAAGTTAACAGACGACGAAGGACGCCAAGAGATGAGAAAAGCTCACTTGGCCCTTTGGGTTAGGTGAACTAAAAATGAAATACTGCAAAGAAAATATGGGGGAAATATAACAATAGGGTTGCATCATTAACATTTTATTAAATATCATTAAATTTCGGAGTTTTCAACATGCCCAACTTGGGCTCTATAAAAATTTATTTGTTGGTATGCATATTTTATGTAATATATATATTCTCATTAATATAAATCCTATTGTGAATAAAATACAGTACAACAGTACAAATAGAACAGTAATTGTATTTTTGCACCTTCTACTTTGTTCATACAGAGATGGTGGCGGTTTCATTTAGAAATTTGTATTTCAACTGCTATATAGTTTTATCCAATCATTATAAATAAGATGTGGTATGAGTGCCAATGAGACAACTCTCCATCCAAGTCACAATGTATAAAAAGTTAACAATTATAGGTCAAAGTACAGCCTTCAACACGGAGCCTTGGCTCACACCGAACAGCAAGCTATAAAGGGCCCCAAAATGACTAGTGTAAAACAATTCGAACAGGAAAACCAACGGTCTAATCTATATAAAAAAAAATATATATATATATATATATATAATTGCATAGATATTTCTATTATTTAGAAACTGGACATTTAGCAAGCAACAATCCATTAATGCAGCGAAAGGTTGAACCTGATTAATACTTGGACATGTTCAGAGCTTGTGTTTCATGACATAGTTTCCTTGATAGAGGTTTGCTTTTTTAAATCAAGGGTACCAAGATGTAAAGTTGAAGTCATCCCTTTGAACGTTTTACGGACGCCATCACAAGTTGGTGACCGTTACGGAAAATCTGTGTCACAGATAGGTTCCAATTTTCCTCAATTGTAACATTACCCAAAGCGACTGATCACCGGATTTTACTTTCAGGTGCTTGGAAAGGGTTATCCAAAATGGAAAGAAGTTTGCCGAGCGTAGCGAGGCAAAATGTTTTGAGACGATATAGAGCAAAAAAAAAATTTTATATTCCGCTCAAAGGGTACGCTCTCTATGCCCCTTGTATTTGCCACTGCCAATATTTCTTAACTATTGTATAGCTTGGTAAATTTGGCGAGCGAAGCGTGACCAGTTTTATGGTGTATATATCTTTGTCTAACTCACCTGAAACCTTTTTCACTATCGAGCAGTCACACGAGTGCATTCCAAAAAAATGAAAATATCAACTTAAAAACGTTGAACATTGAATATAAATGCGAAGGCAGATGTTATATGACAACCGTTCATGTTTCCCCATTTAGATAAACCCTATCGGAAAGCACTATAGAGTTAAAACATGTATTTACAGCTTCAATATAAATTTTTGTCGACTACCATTGTGTCTGTAGTGATATTATTGTAAATAGTTACCAGAACGCGGACGTGAAAAAACGCCAATTAACATGATTTAGGCGGAAAGATATAAAATGAGTTGAATAATTAATACCTAAGATTTGCATCGAGATTTCCATGTTTACAATAAACTTGCGATCATTACAGAGCGTAACTGACGATCGACTTAGTATTCCTTTACTATGCCTTTGTGAAACACACGTAACCGGAACGTAGAACCACAAGTACACGGATCTTAAAATGATAAGATGATCATAAATTAAGTAGGCTTTATAAAACGCTGGCCTGGTCTCTAAGTTTTTTTTTCCTCCAAAAACTGACATTTCATTGCAAAATGAAATTCATCTTTAACCTCTGTTATACAAAGCCCGAAATGGGACACTATTTTTTTCTGTCGGTAATTTAATAAATTACAGTGTCTCCCTTGTTCAATATTTAAACTTCTATTTCAATATCTTATTCTAGTAAAATAAGATGTCATGAATCAGTCTATCAATAAAACAATAATTTCGTACTAATTTATAGAGAGCACATGCAACACATAAAGCAAAGCAACATAATATATAAACTTGTGACACACAGGCATGAAAGGCATCAATACAGACAAAGCACATGCAATGTAAAGAGCAGTTAACCATATTCACCTAAAACACATAATGATACAAACAATAAAACATAAGATATCAACACATATCACACATACAAGCAATAAAACATAAGATATCAACACATATCACACATACAAGCAATAAAACATAAGATATCAACACATATCACACATACAAGCAATAAAACATTAGATATCAACACATATGACATAAGATATCAACACATATCACACATACAAGCAATAAAACATAAGATATCAACACATATCACACATACAAGCAATAAAACATAAGATATCAACACATATCACACATGCAAACACAATAAAATAAAAAATAGTAGAAACACAGGCATAGGAATGCATGTACGCAACTAAAGCACAGTTTAAGCATGAGCTAAATAAGACAGCTTATTAGTTATAGCTGATTATATATTTATTCAAGATAAAAGGCATGAATTTGACAGACACAATAAAGTAAAATGACATACATGCAGATATAGCACTTGACATGAATAGGGTTTCACAGTTACAGACACTAAAATGATTTACTGTTAAGATCACTAAAAAATATAATTTCAAAAATAAAATTATGAAAATTGTCATTATTTTGATATTTGAATAGACTGTAATAATTGATTAAATGGACTAGATTTTCACTGCACTGAGCCTAATACCTTAGGATGACCCACAAAAGTTAATGAAACATATTTCCAGTGGGGTCCATTTAAGAACAGACTACCAGTTTACACCAAGGTTGACACATATAAATAATAAAAATCATTTAAAATTATCACAGATAAAGGCTCAAAGTCTCAGTAAAATTAATATAAAAAAAACAAATTCACTATTTAAGATTGATTTAAAGTTTTCCATCAATTTTTTTTTTACTTGTACTTCAAGTTAAAATTATATTTCTTTTAGCAACTTTTAACTATTTCTGGTAGCGAGTTCATTATATTCCATTATAAAAAAAAGGTGGTAGATTCACACCCTTTTATTCAAGGTATATAAAAACTCATGTTACTAGATCTTGTGTTGAAAGATGTTTCATTTCTAACAATTATTAGTATGCATTAGAATTATCTTAATCATTAAAAAGACAGTTTTTCCAGGAATCTTTATAACGTTTAGCTTATATATTTCTATAGCATTCAGCAGTAGTTTCTTTTAGAAAGTAATCTGATTTTCACATACATTTTATACTATTTATTCGTATGATATCGGGACCAACGGACATTTTTTCTTTTCCAAACAAGGGAAGGGGCGACAACTCTAACCGGAAACAAACAGCTGTTGGGTGAGAACCGAAATATTTTCTGCATATTTCTTTGCTTTTTTAATGTCCTTTTGAATATCATTATAATAAACTAGTGGTGGTAATATTCTTTAAAATAACTGGTGAGACTTATGCACATTGCTCTTGAATAATTTTGTTACTGCAAGTTGAGAAGTTGCAAACAAAATGAAACACTTCACAGATACTGAGATAGGATTTATTGTTATGGCCAGTCACCGATATAATTTGCTTATACTGTTGTTATTCATCAATTTAAGTAGCATCATCTGCAAAAATGTTTACTTTTAAGTGAATACATATACAGTGTAATCCAAGTAATGCCTACTCTCACCTCTCACACATATGTGTAAGACTCAAGTTTTGCAGGCTATGTATCGTATACTTTCACTTCTGTATTGAAACAACAGATAGGAAACAACCCGCCATATAGGGAATAGCTTTACAAACAATGAATATTTTTCCTGTGATTTAAATTTTTTTTAAAACACATTTTATTCTTTAAATGATATCATTAGAACTTATCACAATTTCAGAATCTGCGACATATGACATCATACATGTACATTTATCACTTCAATCTTCAATCTAAAGGCCTGTTGGCACAAATTGACTTTTGCATAACTGTTGGGTCATCCATTTTTCTTGTGACGTCTAAATCTGTGATTACCAGTAGAGGTGGACAAATAGGGATAAGGTGTATTCATTAAAAATACAGCAACTTTTTCATAAGATGAATAGTCTTAAACTTTAAAGTTTCAAGCCATTTCATGAAAACTTCTATAATTTAAAATTTTCAATTCTACATACTTTGCATATTATTAAAGGGGCATTAGCTATGAGATATAAAAAAAAATATATAATTATTTTTTTTTTGTTCTATCATTAATGAAAGTGAAAAAATAATTTGCTTTGAGCAGTCAGTTTGGTTCAATTTCGTCCAAATTAGCTAAAAAAACATTGCTGATGAATTATTCACTTGTAAGTAAATAATTCGACCTCATGATTGAATTTTGTATTCATGTGACCTTCAATTTAACCACTTAGCTGGAGATGTATTCAGCTATGAAAAGGAAAAGAATGTCAACATTGAAAATGAAACAAGGATGAACCATTTGGTTGACTGATTCAATCCACAAAAAATCATTGTTGTACAGGTAAAAATGATGATAAACATACTTTTTATACGACCGCAAAAATTAAAAATTTTTTGGTCGTATATTGGTATGACGTTGGCGTCGTCGTCGTCGTCGTCCGGCGTCGTCCGAAGACACATTGGTTTTCGCACTCTAACTTTAGTTTAAGTGAATGGATCTCCGTGAAATTTTACCATAAGGTTCAATACCACAAAAGGAAGGTTGGGATTGATTTTGGGGGTTATGGTACCAACAGTTAAGGAATTAGGGGCCAAAAAGGGGCCAAAAATAAGCATTTTTGTAACTTCCAGACATAACTTGTGTGTTAGTGTATGGATCTCTCTGACATTGTGCCACAAGGTTCCATATCACAAAGGGAATGCTGGGATTGGTTTTGGGGGTAATTGCCTCAAAATTTTAGGAATTAGGGGCCAAAAAAGGGGCAAAAAACAAGCATTTTTCTAGTTTCATGATAATATCTTGTGTGTAAGTGTATGGATCTTTCTGAAATTGAACTACAAGGTTCCATATCACAAAGGGAAAGCTGGAATTGAGTTTGGGGGTAATTGCCCAAAACATTTAGGAATAAGGGGCCAAAAAGGGGCCAAAAATAGCATTTTTATAGTTTCCAGACAATTACTTGTGTTCAAGTGTATGGATCTCTCTGAAATTGTACTGCAAGGTACCATACCACAAAGGGAAGGCTGGGATTGATTTTGGGGGTAATTCCCTCAAAATTTTAGGAATAAGGGGCCAAAAAGGGGAAAAAAACAAGCATTTTTCTAGTTTCAGGACAATAACTTGTGTTCAAGTGTATGGATCTCTCTGACATTGTACTGCAAGGTACCATACCACAAAGGGAAGGCTGGAATTGAGTTTGGGGGTGATGAATCATAAGGGGTTTCAAAAAATTGGGGGGGGATTTTTTTTTTTTTCATTTTTTTTCTTTTTTTCCTTTTTTTTTCTTTTAAAATTTTCCATTTTAAGTTGGTTATTTCTGATTTATATTTAAAAGCAAATAATAATGATATGGTAGGAGATACACACCAAACAGGATGTGTAAATTATTATATAATAAGTATTGTGCAATAGCAAGAAATTTTCAATTGCACAGTATTGCACAATAGCAAGAAATCTTTCATTGCACAGCATTGCGCAATAGCAAGAAATCTTCAATTGCACAGTATTGCGCAATAGCAAGAAATATCCAATAGCACAATATTGCGCAATAGCAAGAAATTGTCAATTGTACAGTATTGCGCAATAGCAAGAAATATTGAATTGCACAGTATTAATTGCTTATTTCTTGACCAATTTCAATGGGGTTTTATTCTTGAATTCTTGGGGTTCTTTAATATACTGAATCTAACCTTGTATTAAGTTTTTGGATTTTGGGCCCCGATTTTAAATTGGTCCACATTGAGGTCCAAAGGGTCCAAAATTAAACTTTGTTTGATTTTAAAAAATTGAATTATTGGGGTTCTTTGATATGCCGAATCTAACCGTGTATTTAGATTCTTAATTTTTGGTTCCGTTTTCAAATTGGTCTACATTAAGGTCCAAAGGGTTCAAAATTAAACTTAGTTTGATTTTAACAAAAATTGAATTCTTAGGGTTCTTTAATATGCTGAATCTAATCATGTATTTAGATTTTTGATTATGGGCCCAGTTTTCAAGTTGGTCCAAATCGGGGTCCAAAATTAAACTTTGTTTGATTTCAACAAAAATTGAATATATGGGGTTCTTTGATATGCTGAATCTAACCATGTATTTAGATTTTTGATTTTTGGGCCCGTTATCAAATTTGTCCACATTGAGGTCAAAAGGGTCCTAAATTAAACTTTGTTTGATTTCATCAAAAATTGAATTCTTGGGGTTCTTTGATATGCCGAATCTAACCGTGTAGTTAGATTCTTAATTTTTGATTCCGTTTTCAAAATGGTCTACATTAAGGTCCAAAGGGTTCAAAATTAAACTTAGTTTGATTTTAACAAAAATTGAATTCTTGGGGTTCTTTGATATGCTGAATCTAAACATGTGTTTAGATTTTTGATTATGGGCCCAGTTTTCAAGTTTGTCCAAGTTGGGGTCCAAAATTAAACTTTGTTTGATTTTAACAAAAAATGAATATATGGGGTTCTTTGATATGCTGAATCTAACCATGTATTTTGATTTTGGACATTGGACCATAATAGATAAATTAAAAAAATTCAAGTTCTTAGACCACATTCTTTCTGTGTCAGAAACCTATGCTGTGTCAAATATTTAATAACAATCCAAATTCAGAGCTGTATCAAGCTTGAATGTTGTGTCCATACTTGCACCAACTGTTCAGGGTTCGACCTCTGCGGTCGTATCAAGCTGCGCCCCAGCGAAGCATTTTATTATCCTACAATATGAAATCAAACAGACCTAGAAAAATCCAATTGCATGTGGTTACTATCTATTTATATTTATTTTTATATCGGGTTATATGACTGTCGGCAGTCTTCGGAGGTTATCTTAACATGCTCAATGGTTAATTAGATGACATCTAGACAAAAATATACACGAAATGCTGATATATATTATCAAACCATGCATTGTCAATTGTTTATTTTAGACTTTTTGTACTTTGGATATACGTTTTAGTATGTTATAAATCAAATATGAAAATTTGAGTCAAATTGGTGAACATGAATTTGACAGCTAATGCCCCGTTAATTGATGTTTCTGGTTCTCATTATAATTAAGAGTTTTTTGTAGAAAATGAAATGCCTTCATCTCATTAGGTATGCAATTTTTAATAAGGAGGTATAATTTTAACCTTCATCTTTAAAAAAAGCCATTTATTGCTACATTCCAATCTTTCCAGCAAAACTATAGCAACACTTTGATTGCTTTAAAATCTTCCTAAACTACCCATGCTGTTTTCACTAGAAGCAGTATTAGGCCTAGACTGACTAAATTCTTCTGAACACCCTTTTATACAATTTTTTCTTTTTTTTCATTTGCTTAGTTTCTTGTATTTATTATTGCTTGTTAGTCCCCTACCGATGAAGTCGAAGGGGACTTTAGGTTTGCACCCCATCCGTCTGTCTGTCTGTCCATCCATCAGTCCGGCAAATCAGTTTTCCACACTTTTTTTCTTCATGCTTGAAGATATTGATTTAATATTTGGTGTATTGTTTTATCATGACAAGTTGCAGATCAACTTCAAATTTTGTTCTGGTCTGATGATTTTGTGCAGAGTTATGGTCCTTTGGCTTAGAAAATTCACTAAAATAATCAGTTTTCTGCACTTTTTTTCGTCATTCTTGGAGATATTGATTTGAAAATTGGTATATAGTTTTATCATGACAAGTTACAGATCAAGTTCGAAGTTTGTTCCAGTCTGATGATTTTGTGCAGAGTTATGGTCCTTGGACTTAGAAATCAGTTTTCAACACTTTTTTCATCATGCTTGCAAAAAATGACTTGTTATTTGTTATATAGTTTACACCATGACAAGTTATAGATCAAGTTAGAATTTTGTTCCAATACAATGAATTTTTAACCTGTAGGGGACTGACTATGTATTGCCATGCAATACTCACAGAATGCTTGTTATATTTGTGACATACATGTACATGTATATAGAGACAGAAAGTAGTGTCTATTGAAACAGACTTAAGTATTGGACAAATGATTTATTTATTAGTTCTAATAGGCAAGAATTAACCTTGAACTAGCTTTCAATAAGCAGATTGTTTCATTGTGTCTTTTTTCTCTGTTTTTTTGTTGTTTTATTTTTGCTTCATGCAAATCTAATGATTCAAGCTATTTCCAACTAATTTTTACAGTTTGTTCTTATTTTGTGCTGTTACACCACTGTCCCTGGATAGGATGAGGGTTGAGAGTAAGGATCCAGAAATTTTTTCACACAATTTTGGTCATTTTGAGATGACTTAAAAGTTGGGGCCATTTTTTCAAACTGTCGAAATTATTCATACCAAACTACGGCATCAACGAACTTGTATGGACTGTTTCATCGCATTTACTTTAGGAATTTTCTTACTGTTTTTCTAAAAACGTTCAAGAACAATTTATGGAATGCAATATTTTAAAATTGAAAATATTTTAATGACTCTAAACGGTAAATTTCTAAGGAATTGCCAAGCTTCTTTCGATTTTGAAGACAAAAACTGGAAGTTTTTTATTAATACTCAAGTACGTGAATTCCTGATTCATTTCCCGGATTCGTTCTGTTTATCACACATGACAAGAAATCACCGGATTTTTAATTTTATTACCTTTAAAAGTGTTTGAATATACATGTAACAGGTAATAGTTGCACTCGTTGAATTTAGCAAGAATTTATTTTACATTTTACATTTAAGTGTCTTATCTGGTGAGGACAATTTCACGCATGTGTATTACAAAGAGTATATAAAGCACATGTTTGACTCGTCAAAAATGTCTTTTTTCTACTTAAATTAAATCCAGTTATAATTTTTAAATCTTCGCTGAAAAGTAATAAAATAATAAAGAAAGTTATCATGGAATTTTAATTTCTTTATGATATTAGTTCTGAGCTTGTGATCATTGTCAGGTGTGAATTAAAAACACAGGTAAAAAGTGAATAGCAATCCATAGCCAATATTTCCCGGAGGCATTAATATGGTTATTAGGAGGGCCCTCAGGATTATCATACTATACTATAGTGGCAGTTTTATTACCAGAAAAGGATTACAAAACAAAAACAAGTGCTAAATGGCAATTAAGGAACCCAATCTCAATGAAATGACCAAAATTATTTCTGTAAAAAAAATTGTCCTGAATCCCAATCTGCCATTTTGGACAAATAGCTTTCAGTTTAGGTCATGACTGGCAAATATGATCGTTTCCAGACACATGGTTGAGAGCTCACAAGTATAATGTTTACCCCACCCCACATTCTTTATTTACCTGTCCCTAGTTAAGAACCTGTAATTTAGTGGCTGTCCTTAGTTGCTGTCATAAATCAGGCTGTTGGTTTACTCATTTGAATTGTTTCACATTTTGTCATGTTTAGGGTACTTTATACATGTACATTGTAGCTGACTTTACCTGTTTACAGTATGGGTTTTGCTCATTATTGTAAGCTGCACTGTAACCTATGGTTGCTACATTTACATCATTTTACTTTGGTCAACAGTTGTCTCAATTGGTAATCATACCACATCTCCTTATTTTTATATTGCTTAGATTTACACAATTTGTATGCATTGAATTTTTTCAATTCTTTTGTATTCCAACAATAAGTTTAGATTGTAATAGTTTACTTTTTTCTGTGTTTTGCTACCAGTACTTTTGAACCAGTATTTCTTTAGTGCAATAAAAACTTTGCTTAAAAATTCTAAAATTAGAAACAAAGTAGGTAAAAATTAAAAATGGACTATTGTCATTCAAATCTAAAGCATGGTTAGGATATACAATGTACAAAATGTTCATACATGTATGCATTGTATAAATACATGTAAAATATAGAAAAGTGGTAATTGTTATGAATTACAATGTAAAGAACTTTATTTACCACTCTACATGTGGCTAAAAACATGTAATGCTTGATAAACCCTTGTCTCAATGTCCATTTTTTTCTAAAAAAAATAGCAAAATTATAAAATTATTTAATTGGTTCAAATAAAACATGTATAATACATATACACGTATAACGTGTTAATACTCTAAATTGTGAATCACTTTTGCATATTTCTGTTATATAAATGAAATTTTTAGAGAGAATCACTAGCATGTAAAATGTACTAGGAAAAACTACCATTTTGAAGGATTTTTAACTGAATCATTTTGTATGTACATTTGTGTTCTGTAGTCTCTGAATGGTCCTCCTGTCATATCTACAGATGTAATTATGAGCATTTTTAACTTAGCTAAAATTAAAAGCTTAAGATTTATTATGTACAAAATGTATGAACTAATTAAACAAGACTAAAAATGAAATAATGAATTTGTATTGAGTCTATACTTGTATACATTTTAAAAAGTTTAGATTGAATGTTCAAAAAATCTTATACAGAACAATATGTTAGTATTTCTTATGTTACTGTTGTAACCAAACTTTAAACAAGTATGAGTAAAAATAAGAATAACATGAGACTGAAAGTCTTCTGTAGTTTATTTTCTTTACACAGTTCATTCTAATATGTATGTTGTGGTTCTCTAGTTGAGAGAAATGTGTGTTATTAAATCTTTTCTTTTTTCAGGAACCACAGATGATGTAGCAGTGTTTCATCATTTTGGAAGATAGAAGATGAATTCAGCTCCGTTATCAATGGTTTATAGATGTGATAAACAGACATCCAAACTTTCCCAACAGCTGAAACATTTCTACAGCTGTGGTGAATTCTGTGATGTTATATTATACTCCAAAAGTTCACAGATTCATGCCCATCGACTAATTCTAGCAGCATTTAGCCCTTATTTTTACCATTGCATACACCGAAATACAGATAGGAGAAATATAGCAGAAATTCAGCTGAGAAGTTATGATGATCGAATAGTAAAATCTATCGTAGATTTTTTCTACAATGGAGTAATAACTGTTGATTCTGATTCTGCAGAACAGATTTTCTCTCTTGCCAATACTCTTCAAGTGAAAGAAGTAGAGAAGTTGTGCTTAACCTTTTTAAATGCACAACAGTCTTTTGCTTCTGAGGTAAGAAAATGTGTTATTAAAGAACCCTGTACTTTTGATGGGTGCTGTAATTTCTTTTAAGTGGAATCAGTGCAGTTTAAGGAAGATAAGAATTGGCAAGGGTTTAATTTTAATGTTCCTTTGTTTTCAGTTTGGTGATGGTGACATGTACAATGTAGCAGGAGAATGTGATTAAGTGAGCATAAAAAAAATGTTGAAATGAACACAGCATAAAACTACCCATACCATATAATCTTTGACTAGAACAGAAGACAAATTGTTTTATTTTGTTTAAATTATTTCTACTTTTGTTTTGCACATTTCAAAATGTGCAATGAAACCAAGCTTTTGTGACCCCAAAAAATATTAGAAAAGTTACAACAGCAGAACCTTGAAAAAAATGCTTGATAAAGCTTATCAATTTTTCATTCTTGGCATTCTATTTAAAATATTCCTGTTATGAGGAATCAACATATTGGCATGTTTTGTCATTTATAGGAGCTTTAAAATAGAATCAATTTGATTATTTTCTAATGAAAGTGCTTTCATCCATCTGTAGGGACTTGTTAAGACTGGTAAATATATATATTTGGAAGTCTAAATTCAAAACAACGTTCAAACCTATGATTGCGTTGGATAAAAACCACAATTTTTATACGTGTGAATGCAAAACAAATTTCTTGGTAGATGGATCTAAATATAGCACAAACAACATTTTCCAAAAGACCAAAAAAGTGAAAAAGTATATTTTAACAAAACGCATTTGACTAGCAGGTTGAACAATGGATGTTCTTAAACCCTGCTGACTGCCATTGGCGATTGCCAAATAAACGAATCACCAGATGTAACAAAATGGATCTTAACTATTAATTTAATACCAAACAGAAAACAATAAACTTGCGGAAAAGATGGTATACCGCAAACAAAAGGTGCAAAAGTTAGTACACCATATCAGGATTTCGACAATTAAAGTCTCTCCAGTGATGTTAGGAATCGAAACAGTATTTGGAATGCCATATAATTTACCTCAATTTAGAATAGACACTTGAATTTTGAAGAGTCAAAATAGGATGAACGCATCATATAAACCCGAAGGCAAATATAATACAAGCCCAAAGGAAAAAATATAAGCAAGTCTAAATTGAAAACAACGTTCAAACCTATGATTGCGTTGGATAAAAACTGCAATTTTTATACGTGTGCATATAAAACAAATTTCTTGGTAGATGGATCTAAATACAGCATAAACAACATTTTCCAAAAGACCAAAAAAGTGAAAAAGTATATTTTAACAAAACGCATTTGACTAGCAGGTCGAACAACGGATGTTCTAAAACCCTGCTGACTGCCATTGGCGATTGCCAAATAAACGGATCACCAGATGTAACAAAATGGATCTTATCTATTAATTTAATACCAAACAGAAAACAATAAACTTGCAGAAAAGATGGTATACCGCAAACAAAAGGTGCAAAAATTAGTACACCATATCCAGATTTCACAAATTAATGTCTCTTCAGTGATGTTAGGAATCAAAATACATGCACCTGTCCTAAGTCAGGAATCTGATGTTCAGTAGTTGTCTTTTGTTGATGTGGTTCATAAGTGTTTCACGTTTCTCGTTTTTTATATAGATTAGAACGTTGGTTTTCCCGTTTGAATGGTTTTACACTGGTCATTTTTGGAGCCCTTTATACATTTGTAGCTTGTTTTTCGGTGTGAGCCAATTCAAGGCTCTGTGTTGAAGACAGTACTTTGACCTATAATGGTTTACTTTTACATATTGTGACTTTTCAGTTTGGTGATGGTGACATGTTGAATGTAGCAGAAGAATGTGATTAAGTGAGCATTAAAAAAATGTTGAAATGAACACAGCATAAAACTACCCATACCATATAATCTTTGACTAGAACAGAAGACAAATTGTTTTATTTTGTTTAAATTATTTCTACTTTTGTTTTGCACATTTCAAAATGTGCAATGAAACCAAGCTTTTGTGACCCCAAAAAATATTAGAAAAGTTACAACAGCAGAACCTTGAAAAAAATGCTTGATAAAGCTTATCAATTTTTCATTCTTGGCATTCTATTTAAAATATTCCTGTTATGAGGAATCAACATATTGGCATGTTTTGTCATTTATAGGAGCTTTAAAATAGAATCAATTTGATTATTTTCTAATGAAAGTGCTTTCATCCATCTGTAGGGACTTTTTAAGACTGGTATATATATATATATATATATATTTCGAAGTCTAAATTGAAAACATCGTTCAAACCTATGATTGCGTTGTATAAAAACCACAATTTTTATATGTGTGCATGCAAAACAAATTTCTTGGTAGATGGATCTAAATATAGCACAAACAACATTTTCCAAAAGACCAAAAAAGTGAAAAAGTAAAATTTAACAAAACGCATTTGACTAGCAGGTAGAACAACGGATGTTCTTAAACCCTGCTGACTGCCATTGGCGATTGCCAAATAAAAGGATCACCAGATGTAACAAAATGGATCTTAACTATTAATTTAATACCAAACAGAAAACAATAAACTTGCAGAAAAGATGGTATACCGCAAACAAAAGGTGCAAAAGTTAGTACACCATATCAGGATTTCGACAATTAAAGTCTCTCCAGTGATGTTAGGAATCGAAACAGTATTTGGAAGGCCATATAATTTACCTCAATTTAGGATAGACTCTTGAATTTTGAAGAGTCAAAATAGGATGAACGCATCATATAAACAGGAAGGCAAATATAATACAAGCCCAAAGGAAAAAATATAAGCAAGTCGAAATTGAAAACAACGTTCAAACCTATGATTGCGTTGGATAAAAACTGCAATTTTTATACGTGTGCATACAAAACAAATTTCTTGGTAGATGGATCTAAATACAGCATAAACAACATTTTCCAAAAGACCAAAAAAATGAAAAAGTATATATTTTAACAAAACGCATTTGACTAGCAGGTCGAACAACGGATGTTCTAAAACCCTGCTGACTGCCATTGGCGATTGCCAAATAAACGGATCACCAGATGTAACAAAATGGATCTTATCTATTAATTTAATACCAAACAGAAAACAATAACCTTGCGGAAAAGATGGTATACCGCAAACAAAAGGTGCAAAAATTAGTACACCATATCCGGATTTTGACAATTAATGTCTCTTCAGTGTTGTTAGGAATCAAAATACATGCACCTGTCCTAAGTCAGGAATCTAATGTTCAGTAGTTGTCTTTTGTTGATGTGGTTCAGAAGTGTTTCACGTTTCTCGTTTTTTATATAGATTAGAACGTTGGTTTTCCCGTTTGAATGGTTTTACACTAGTCATTTTTGGGGCCCTTTATAGCTTGCTGTTCGGTGTGAGCCAATTCAAGGCTCCGTGTTGAAGACAGTACTTTGACCTATAATGGTTTACTTTTACATATTGTGACTTGGATGGAGAGTTGTCTCATTGGCACTCATACCACATCTTCTTATATCTATCTCTTCACTTTTTGAATTTATCTTAAAATATTATTTTTTTCTTTTATAATGAGTTCAGTAATCAGCACCAATCAACTTATTTTACAGGAGTTATGCCCTTTGGAAATAGAAATGTTATTGAAAATTGCATTGGAAGCAATCTCGCCCCTAAATTTCTTGTTAGATATTTATGAAAATGTTTAAATAACAAGTTATGTTGGACCTATTGCCCTTGGACAAATGCATGCAAGATATGTGCTTTGCAAGGGGAAATTGGAATACTGCTCTGTTATTCATTTGGTAAATGCTTTTGATAATTAGCATCTCTACTTATAAACATTAAATCTGAAATCTTATAGCCTATAATGAATTGTAGTAGGTTATATGCATCATACTCATGTTTTTTGTCTCCCTTTGATAGTTATATACATATAGCTATGTCATGTATTTACCATATGTGAATGCTAAAATGATGGTTGATGTATTAATGGTAATGTTCAAATCAAAAAACATTTCAGTAAAAGGATTTTGGAAAACAAGGAAGTAACCAAAAAATATAATATGCCAGAAATGAAAAACTAGAGGTCAGTTAAAATAATTCATTCACAATTTTCAATATTTTTGGACCATATATTTTTGCAGATTGAAGACAGAAAACCACATTTTGACACCGAGATTGGACGTTACAGCATTGTTGAGCCCTCTAAAGTTGAGAGTTCTAGCCGTTCAAGTCCAAGAACTAGTCCTAGTGTATCTACCTCAGGAAGACCACTGTCAGATTCTGGATCGATAGAGACAGTGGATAGTGATGTTGTTAATATCAAAACTGAAGTGCAAGATTTCTCTTATGAAGCACTACAAGGTAAACTGAATATATATTTCTGAACAAAACCTAGATTCATTTTTATGTCCAGACTGCTATAGAAAGGATTATTATATTTTCTGGTCATCATGTCCATTTGTCATGCATTACAAATGTAGGTTACATTTTTTGGTTAAGGATTATGTAAATGTAGTTTAACATAAAGTTGTGGCCACATAAACTTGAAACTTAGTAAACATGTTCACTATGATGGGAACTTTTAAAATTATACATCAAATTATGGTTTTGACCCCTATTCCACAGTTAACTGATCATGGAAATATAGTGTGACCTGTGCACACAGATTCTTGTACTTAAATTGATGAAACCTGATCACAAAACTGATATAGATAAAAATTACTTGTGACAAAATTATTTATCATATTTGATTTCAAGTCAAAAAGGATTTTTTTGTTGTTAACCTTGTAATCAGAATGTGCATGTTGCCAATATAAAGTTTGCCTTAAACAGTACAGTTTACATCTATTTCAATTATTAAATGAATCATGATCTTTTGGACATTATTGAAGTTAAAATTTTAACATTTAAAGCCTTTCATCACAAGATTAAGTGCTAAACTGTTGAGAAATTTGTTTTCTTATAATTTAACCTAGAAATAGAAAAGGAAAGATATGGAGTATATTCATTTGTGACAAATTTCTAATGAATTACTAAGAAATAACCAGTATATAAAAGGAATAGCACTTCTATTGCTGTTGTTTGTCTTAACAGTTGTTGGAAGACCATTGCTGGAAGGTCTCTTCTATATCTTGTGCCTTATTGTTTGGTTCAGATGATAAGTAGTTCAGACTTAAGCTGTGCTATTGATAATCATCAACAACCACTTTTTTCATTGAAAGAGATGTGTGATAGTTATCAATCAGTTGCTTATATGCTGGTTATGTCTTCTTACAAGTTTTATCATTCATTGTCTTAAAAAATATGATCATTACTACTTAAAAAAACCAGATAATCACAAGGCATCATCATGAACTTGACCAATAAAAACTTAAGTTTGCTTTTTAATCTAAGTAAAAGAAATCAATTCTGACAATTAATTCACATCAATATTATGTGAATCTACAAGTCTAATAAATATTCTATTTAGTATGTCAAAGCAATATCTTCAAATCATTTGTTTGTTCTTATATATAATCAGTATGACTTTGATTTTTTAGATGACTACAGAGAGTATTATAGAGAAGGGAGAAAAAAAGATAGTGAAGGCAAAATTAAACTAACAAAGACAGTTGTTGACATGTCACACATTCAACCAAAATTGACAGGTCAATCCGTTAACTATTCCCAACAATACATGTTTGTAAGACCCTCTCAACCACCACCACCACCCACCTTACAGATGATGGCACCTCAGAGAGATTCAGAAAAGTCAAATGATGCAGAAATGTCCGAGCCAAACAATTCATCTAGCACCTCAGCTAAAAACCAGCAATATCAGTCTAGTGAAGAGGGTAGTGCTGATGCCAGTCAGCAGGAGTCAGATCTATTTTCAGGAACATTAGAAGCTATGTTTGAATGTCAAATTTGTAAACAAATGTTTGTTGCTAAGCATTTGTTAGAAATGCATATGGTGGGTATACATGGTTTTGCTAATCTTCTGAATCATCAGCAGAAGAAGCGACAGCGTGTTTCTCCAGGGGAGGTAAGCCCTGATTTTGTAGGAGGAATGCAGTGTGACACTTGTGGAAAGTATTTCAGAGATGCTCAGTCTTTGAAATTCCACAAGTACAACCACATACTTAGATTTTCCTGTAATGTATGTGGAAAAAGGTTCTCAAGAAGTTGGAATTTACATCGACACAGGAAAACTCATGTGCGTTATGGGGAAGTCATCTTGGATAGTGGGGAAGATGACAGTATGATGGAGAATATTTCAGCAGAGTATGTGGATGAAATCAGCTCTGAAATGGTGGATCTGACCAGTAATGTAGAAGATGATGCAGATTCTTCTCTGTCTTCTATGAATACATCACAAGATATACCTAGTGAAAAAGGTGAAGAAGAGAAAAAGGAAGAAGAGAAAAGGGAAGAATCGGCATCAGAAGAGAAAGAATCAGCATTGGAAGAACAAGAATCATCATCAAAATAAGCATTCTTTTTTTTTCTTTTTAATTAGAAAACATGTATGTACTTAGGAAAAGCTTTCTTAATATGTCCAAAAGAATGTTATCATCATTTTCAATGTCATATACGACTTATTTGTGTTAGTTTACAAAAGCCTAAAATAGATCAATGTAGGAAATTTTCTATTAAGAGAACATTTTCTAACACCTGTACAATAACTAATGGAAGGTTATTAAGAATGTTATTGTAGGAATTCTATCTATCCAAAACAACTCAGCTATTTACAATTCTATAGGTTGATGCAGACATCTTTTTTTCTGTCATTTTTCAAAACTATTTTATGCAAATGTATGCCATATTTTGTCTGATTAAAAGTTTTAATTGTTTGAATCTTTGCTGCACATTTTGGAAATAGTAGACATTTAAGACTTGTATGTTTATTGTCAAAAGAAAGTTTTAAGCATATAGGGCTCATTGATTAAGTATGTTTATCAATGTACTGTTCATTGTAAGGTAAGAGCTTTTATATTGAGCATATTTGGAGATACTTGAAACTTAATAAACAATCCCTTACATTTTGTAAATGAGATGTTTTTCTCACAGCTAATGGAACTCTTTTGAAGCTTTTTTTAAACAAAATTAAATTCCAATTTGTTCAAAACTTTTCATTAAAGTTATAAATCATACAATGTCAGGATGTTCAAATATATATTTATATTTTAAAAATGATTTTTAAGATTGTTATCACGAAATTTAGACTTTGTATTGTAGGGAAAATTTTTACATCATTTTGAATTGTTGTTATCTTAAAATTTTGTACTTACTGTTTTATTTCATTTCCTGTTGAAATGTGAAAGAAAGGGTTTCAAGCTTTAAAATGAAATCAAATATTGCTTCATCATGCAGTGATGCTTCATATACATGATTTTCACTTATCTTTGTTATTTTGCACCAAAATATTTTTTAATATCTTAGCATACATGTACTTAAAATTTCAAAACTCCACAAAAAATGGGATAACACAAAATTAACAGCGCTTATGGTGATCATAGGCTGACCAGTTTAGGTCCTTTGTGGACCTAATTCAGATTTCAAAACTTCACTGAGGAATATTCAAATATCTTGAAATAACAAGGAAATATTTAAACATCCATTTCTTCAAAGGTGGAAATTGAATTAGGTTTATCTATTTTTTTTATCAACTTTTTAATTTGTGGTTTTATTTTCAATAAGAAAAAGAAATACATTATGATCCTAGTGATCTAATTGGAATTCATTGTTTTTATTGAACCAGTGTTTTAAAGATGGCTGTCAAATACTGGTTTTACAAATACAAGGTGATTAAAATGAACTCTGAATGGGACTTATCTTTGAATTTTCTCATTATTATAACGCCACCCAGTGGCCAGGTCATATAGCATTACCAATGTCCATCATTTTTTAACCCAACAGTTGTTTCTTTCTTTATGCTTGTTGTTATTCAGTTGGTTTATAAGGTGATACTGATGAGTTACAGATATTCATTTAGTTTGAATTTTATTTCAAATGATGTACTTGTCACAGAATTACTGTGTCATTTTACAGGCCAGGGCATTTGTGTTGATCTGACATGTGTACGATAGTCTGAATCACTCTGAATCTTTAGAAATTCCCACCAAAAGCATCCTTCAAAAATGTCCAATGGTGATATTTAATAGTTACAAATTTTTAGTTTTAATTGAGAACCAAATATATGCATTCATACAGTCTACAATGTGCATTATATTTTTTTTTAATGTGGAAGTTATTAGTGCATTCTCAAGTTACTAATTTGAATAAATAATCTTTTTATAGGAATAAAAATGTGTGAATGAGACAACAAATGTGTGATTTTCAAACAGTTTGTATTTGAATGTGTGTGTATTAAAATCATATAGATTTTATTCCATTCTGTTATAACAAGTGCTTTCATGATAAAAAAATTTTAAGAAGGTTTTATAAAATAAATACGTTTTATATAATGAAAAAAATATTTGAGGTCTAATTGATTTTTACATCTACAATGTTTTTCATGAATTATGATTATTTAATTTTTTGCATGTATTTATGAAAAATTTCCTGTGTATTGTGTAATGGTATTTAGCAATCACTTTATTCAATATTTAAGATACCAAACAATGACCTCATTCAACATTTTAGAAGGCAAGTCATTGTATTGACATAAAAATTAACGACTATATTCAATGTTTTAGATTGCCAAATATAGTACTTTGACCTGTACACAAGTCTATGTTGTGCAAGCATTCACATAGAATTCGAAACATTCACAAAAAAAAAAAAGATTAATCAGCATCCTTCTAACAGAGCAAAAATTCTGAAAATGTTTAGATTCATATAATTAGTAGGTGATAAACCCGTATTATGAAAGAAGAAAAAATATTTTAGAAAACTGAATTTTTAAGTGTCTTTCAAGATATTTTGAAGAAGTTCAATGAACTATATAAACATATAATCATAGAAATATATTGAATAAAAAGAAGAGCAAAAAATAAAATCTTGAGCAACAAAATTAGACCTCATAATATAATTGAATCCACAATAATCATGAAAAGAAATTTGCAAAGAAAGTAGCCAGTTCAACAAAAGGATGGAGATTTTATTAATGTCATTAAGTTTTGAATTATTTGTTTTGGTTGTATATTTATTTACTCTTGAGTTGTGCGTTCATTCATATCCATTTAAGACATTACAAAATGTAAACCTGATCAGAATGAATGTGTTTTAAGTAGAAAATAGCAATAAAGACCACATGGTGACCTTAAGATGTCTATTTTTGTGAACTTTTGTTGTTGGGTTGTAATTCTACGACATTTACCCTTCACTCTCCTTTCATTCATGCATATTTGCTATTGTAAAGTGGTGCAATATCTACAGATCATGTTGTAATGTAGATATTAAAATATGAACATGTAGGTGCTAAATTTAAGAGAACTGTGAGGGTCAGCCCACTGGCCAATCTATTATAATTTAAAAAATCTACTTGATGTGCAACAGTATAAAGTACCATACCCATAACCAGTATTAGGGTAAGAATACCAATCAGATCCTTAGATGCTCTACTAAAGCTGTTAGAAACATTTAGTACTAAAGTAATAGGTTCATTCTTTCAATTTGTATTGAACTAGGTATCATATACCTAAAAACCCTTGGGTGTACAATGTATATATTTAGATTCTTATTTCATGTGGAAAATGGTCAGGTTTACAGTTGTGTTGTATATAAATCACAATTTTAATCATTTTTATTTTTATTGCCCCATTATGTACAGAATTGTATCTAGTCTATTCATTTTAATGCATGTTTATTTTGGATATTTTACTGGTGTGGGATAAGAGTAGTTGTGATAGACAAAATACACATTTATCATGAAAGGCATTTTACAAGTGAGATGTTTGTAAAGTAATATATTTTATATAATAGTGTATATTACATATACTTGATATTGTATTGTACTTAAATGGTATGGGAATGAGTTGATTTATATAATGATGAATTATGTATATACAAAATTCATTACAATAATCAGAAATAAACATTAAGATTTACAGTTTCTCAATTTTTTCTGTCCACATGCTTTCACTAATCAGCATGTCAACGACAATGAAAATACATTTCAGTTTTGTCTCGCCTGCGAGACTTAGGGATAACAATCTGGCAGTGAGAGACTAAACTATTTGTATAAGGCTTTATATTTCAAAAGTAGAACCCTGGATGCTTCATACCTTGCAGATGCATTATGTTACAAAGTTTCTGCCATATGCAGGGGCGTAGCTAGGTATCCAATAAACTGTAGGCACAAATTGCAGCAGGTCCAGGGCAGAGCCCTTGTAGGGGGTTCAGGGAAAACGGATTTCAGCATTTTAGTTGCAAAATTTTGTGTACAAAAAGACATGAAAACTGGTCATTTTATCATGATAATATACATGAAAAAAATTTCGAAGAAATTATAATATACATAATTTTACAATTACATCTGACTGATTAATTAACCGGCAGTACAATCGGAAATATATAAAAAAAAAAATATTTACAATACGCATTGCCCAGCGTGGATCAGTGTAGCCCTTTATTAAGCAGCACAACCTGTTTAGTATTTTCATATCTATTCCTGTCTGATTGAGGATGATTGATATATACGTCAATTGATAGTACATATTGACGATCCAACATTTAAAAGAAACCTTCACCGTCCCCTGGCTACACAAACACATACACACACAGTTGATGCCTCATGCAGAAGTTCTGTTCTGTTCATACTTTTGAACAAAATTCAAGAAATTCATAATTCCTTAAATCCTGTACTGTAAAATCCCTACCTGCTTAGGAATTTGTATAATTATGGTCATTACACATAGATCTGAGAGTACTCGAAGTTACTGAAAGCTAGTTGATTGATTGATTGCTAAATGTCCAGTGGCAAATAGTTCATGCATGTTCAGGATAAAAACAAATTTACAATAAATACAACAGGTAGCTAGGTCCTATACTAGGGGTCGTCCAGGACGAAGGTCTGGAAATTTGGAAACGCCATGCATTGGAAAATGAGGTTTTATTGGATAAGAACAGAAATTTTGCATTTCAGTAGACCACCTACGAAACGCTCAATGAGTTGTTGCAAGTTTCTTAACGTGCAGAGAGCGTGGCATTCTCTCTACACTAGGCATCGGATTTAACGTCCCCATTCTGACCAGACGTGACTGCGTATTTATATATCCTGCACAGCCAAACGGACGCCAAACTTTGGCATGGATTTTATTGTAGGTCGGATGAAAACCAAGTGGAAAGCTAGTTAAAAGCCAACAGCAACTAATTAAAAAAATCATGTGTCTAAGTTGAGGTTCATTCAAGTATTTGTTGATAGAAGTGAAATGATCTGAACCAAAGATCTAGTTTATAGTTTCTATATAAGGGGGAATATAATGACATACAATTCTAACCAATACTCCATTCACTAAGGATGATCGATAGACTAGTGTACACATGACATTCGATAAATAAAGAGTTTTGACGACTTCACTGGCGTGCATCTACAGATAACGTTTATTATTTTTTTTAATAAAAAAAAAATATTTGTGAAAAAATTATGTGTAGGCACGTGCCTCAAGTGCCTAACGGCAGCTACGTCCCTGATATGTCCATTGTCCTTGACCTCATTTGAATGGTTTAGCGTCTGCTTGAAATTTAAAAAAAATTTTGAGTCATGTGAATAACTCTTATTATGAGTAATAGGATATTCGATCCTTGCAAGTTGTACATGTTTGTTAGACAGGGTTCACCTGACCTCGACCTCATTTCATGGATCAGTGATCAAGTTTTTCAGGTCAAGTCTGTATCTTGGATACTATAGGCAAAAGGTCAACTATATTTGGTGCATGGAATGATAGGTCATTGTTAATGTTAAGTTTATGTGATACTTGTAGTACACTGTAAAACCTTCATATTACAGACTTTTAACATAAATCCAATCAACATAAGCAAAACAGGCGAGGCCAGTGTGTGCACTCTTGTTTATTTAATTAGAGGCATATACAATATTATATCTTTTTTTATTGCCTTCCATGAATGTGAGACATAGTGATGCTAATCCTGTGGTAGTGTTAACTATTTGTATAAAGCTTTATATTTCAGAAGATAGAAAAATTTGATTCATAAACAGAAGTTTTTATCTGGCACATGTCCATTATCCTTGTCTTCATGGTTCAGCAGTTGCTTTATAAAAAAACTATACAGGTAGTTCTTTTATCACATGATAATTTTAATAGACTCTGGAAGAATTAGTTCTTGACAGATTGTGTTAACACCTGTCTATTGTTGGACGTTGCCCTCTTAATGTCTTATGGATTGTTTTGTCTATGGGTTGCTGGTCCTATTGACTTATATCCCACATCTCCCTTTATTAGCTCACCTGGCCATCTTTTACAGATGAGCTTTTGTCGTATGGGCCAGGTGAGCTATATTTTTATAAATTTATATTGTTTGATGTTGCCTACCTACCCACCTAAGAAGCAGACTACCGGTACCCAGAAAATTTTATGACACAAATGGGTTCACATTTTTTGAAGATTTTTTCCTGCTTGAACGTTGTTTTCTTGTCTAAAACATGTAATTTGTGTTTTTAGCCAAAAAAAAAAATGAAATCCCTACCTACCTACCCAACCCTTCAAGGCATGGGTAGGCAACATCAAACAAAGAATTTTTTAAGAGTGGTCTTATATTCTGTCCTCGTTGTAAACTTTTTAATAATCTTCTTCTCTGAAACCACTGGACCAAATTCAACCAAATTGAATGATTAGTAGGGTATCTAGCATAAAGTTTGTGTGTGTCTTTTGCTCCAGACAATTGCCAACATGGCCGCCATGCCTGTAGGTTTGCAAACGTTCCATAAAATTCTTAAGATATTGGTTTCAAACCAAATGGCTGCCATCTTTTGTAAACTGTGCTGAAAAATTACTAGGAGTCTTATATGTTAATTTTTCTGTAAATTTTATTTTTATAAAATGTTGAATTATTTAAAACATTGATTTTTTTTTACCTCCAGGTATAGATTGCCTTAGTCTTGATTAGCACAACCTGTTTGGAATTTTGAGGTTTTAATGCTGTTCAACATTGTATTTGATTTGGCCTTCCAACTGTTTAGATTCAAGTGTCACTGATGCATTTTGTGTAGAAGAAACGCACATCTGGTGTACAAAATTATAAGCAAGTTTTTTGAAAAATTGCCTGAAACAATTCCTTAATAGCAGGTGTACAACTTCAACATGTGTACAATTATTCTGTGAAGTTACAGGGATCTGGGTGGAAAACTGTAAGAGTTGGTTACACAAATTAGATTCTCACGTTTCCCTGCTTGCCCTTACCCCCAATATCACCATTCTTTGTCTAACCAGGCCAAATAGGAGACTATCAAACATATAACTAAAGTATACTTTACTATGTCATTTATAAAATAGAGTAATTTCCACCAGAAACTATAAATCTGATCATTCTGCATTCATTTGATCAGCAAGTTCATTCAAATAATTGATACCAATAACTGTTTTGATGAATGGATGTTTATTCAGGACAAGAACATGCTAATGTGATATGAATTCTTTGTTTTTTTTTCCTAAATTCTGATGACTACCTCAATGTGAGGGTGCTCACCTAGAGCACGGGAGGTGTTTGATTCTATTTCTGGCCGGTCAAACCAAATACTTGAAAATTGGTATTTGCTGCTTCTTTGCTAATAATGACATTTAAGATTGATTTTAAGAGCAAAGACTGGTTGGCACAGTCAGAATAATGTGTCTGAGAAGGGTAACATGTCTTTCTGTAGACTGTTACATTGTGAACTAGCACATTAAAAATCTAGCTAGGCATGTAACCATGTTGTTCTATTAGTTAAATATTCATATTAACATGTTCTCATAAGCATATGCATGTGATATTTGCCACTGGAAAAAAAAACACCATTTCATCACCTTCAACCTAAATAAAGTGTGCTATACCAACTATTTAAACTTCATTTAACCAAACAATGGATCAAATCCATGACTCACTCACAACCAATGAGACTTCTGTTTAATAATAACTTTTTTGCTTTGGACAAGGTTGGTTGATTTGAGAAATTTGGTACTTTGCATTGTTCCCTTCAAACATAACAGTATTAAGTTGTGCTTTGCTGAATACCCATGTTCGAGATTTGTATTCTATTTCAATAGATTAATAATAAGAAAGAACAAAGGATATCTCATGGTTTTATTAATAAAAAGTAAACAAATGATATTGTCTTAAAGTTTTAAAAATCAACAACCCTACAGTGACTAGAAATAAATAAGGATTCATATTAATACATCTAACGAGATTCAAGGAAAAATAATTCACAACACTTCTGGAGATTCAGATACCAACAATAAATATACACATACAAGTTTGAATTGTAATGAAACACGTTGATTAAGCATTGGCAAGTTTAAAGGTTCATATATATGAATCAAATATGTAGAAAAATACTTTGGGTCAAAAAATGGTTTCAACAATTTAACAAGAAACCTAGCAAAATAATCTATTATTATAATCAAAATATTTTTTTTATTTTTAATTATTCTTGACATTTTAAATCTGTATATAAAAAAAAACAACAGATAAAATATGTAGAAAAGGGAAAAAATATCATTGTATTTTACATTATTCACATATTAAAAAAAATATGCAATAGACTTTCAATACCACATACATGTATATCCAACTTGTCAATAAAAAGCAAGCTGGCTGATATTGATTGATAGTTAAAATCTCAACACAAATAATGAAATAGGACAATAATGGACAACTCTTATCTGAATGAAACCAAGAAAATTTTCAATGCAGTAAAATTAAATCAAGAAAGCTGAATAGTTTTTAAACAATATCAATATCTACATGTAAAGTTTGTCTGGCTTACTCTTAATGCTAATATTTATGCACTGAACACAAATTAAAATACTGAGAAAAGTACTTATTATTGATTGCATGGTAAATAATAAATTCAATAATTATAGATTATCGATGGTTTTTCAAATGAGAG